GAGCAGACTTTGCTGCCCACACGTTTCCCAGGCTGCACACCTTCCTGGGAGCAGACTTTGTGCTGGGGAATGGCTCCTGCCCTTGAACTGCAAAGCTTTTGGTTCACACATGAGTTCTTAATGGCGACGGCACCAGGGCTCCTTCACGGAGGCCCAGAGAGGTTAAATCCCTAACTCGTCACATGTATTGTATCTGACAGAGGATTTGAGTCTAGGATGTTGTGTACTGGACTGCATATTTTTAAACTCTAAAATATTTTGACTCTTCAGTATTTCACTGTCCGTGTGTGTGTGTGTGTGTGTGTGTGTGTGTACCTGTTGGTGGTACAGGGGTGACATGATGTTGGGGCTGCCATCTCCATGACCAGCAGTTCCAAACCACCAGCCACTCCTTGAGACAAAGACTGGGCTTTTTACTCCCATAAACCGTTATGGTCTCAGAAACCCGCAAGGGGTCGCTATGAGTCAGCAATGATTTGATGGCAGTGAGTTTGGTCTATATACATAGACATTTTATCTGCCCTATTTCTACCTGTGACAACATGCATTTAAAATGATCTTGTTTATCTTGAATCATTCCAAGTTAATTTCCCCTTTGAGCACAGCATCTCAGCCACATCATAACACTTCAATTTGGCAAATAGAAAGGCACCTGGCACCGGCTCTTCTTACCTTTTCTGCACATGCTTGGTCTGGAAGCACTGCTGCTTTTCTTCCACAAAAGATGTGTTCAGTGCTCGGTGCAGTCTCTGGGGGGAAGAACGGACACACAGGTAGAGATCGTGAGAGACACACGTGGGTCATGGGACAAACTATGCCCTGACTTAACCAACCTTGACCTCTTCACACAGTTTTCCAGGGATGCCCCCAAACAGATCCACATTCAGCCCCAACCTCAGAAAAACAAGAACTTGACTTATAGGTTGACAGCCTAGAAAAGCTCAGGGCTTGCAAAAAGGAATGTGATATAAAGTAGAGCTATCTCTGATAATGTGTAGCAAAGGGCTGTGTATCCTGAGTCAGAGATGGGGCCAGCACTTCAAGCCTGGACTTCTTAGCAGTCTAAACCAAAGAGGGGAAGAGTCAAGCGAACCATCGTCATATGCATTGGAAGGGGTTAGTTGTCCGCAGAGTTTAAGGAGACAAAACACATTTAGAAGACAAAAATACTTCTTGGGCTGAGAGTAGGAAGAACGAGACTCCACTGTGAGCAAGTCACCAGTAGTGACCCATCGGTGATTCAGACAGAATAAAACAGATCAGACAGACGGAATAATTGTGTTCACCGTAAGGTTCCCAAGTGACCCGAATGGTTCCCACTTGGCTCTTAACCTACAGGTTGTCGATTGGTGGAGTAGTGATTACACACTGGGCTGCTAACCACAAAGCCAGCAGTTCAAATCCACCAACCACTTGGAGGGAGGGAGGTGAGGCTTCCTACTCCCGTTAATATGTGCAGTCTGGGAAGCTCACAGGGACCAGTTCTGCTCTTCGCAGTGAGTCAGAGTCCATTGGATGGCGATGGGTGTGGTGTGCAGCAGCGTGAGAGGACATGGATGGGACAAAACCGGCAGGACTGGCAGCTCACTGCTGGGAGGGCAGGAGGTCCTGTCTCTGGGAGGATGGCTCCCGAGGTCCATTTCTTCCAGGAGAAATGTACCAATGAAGGCACAGGACTGTCTTGTTTGCCAGGCAGATGCAGTGTTCCCGCTGAAGTGTCATGTGCCGGGGGTGCACCAAAGGACTGCGTGCCTCTGACGCTTGGTCTTGGTACCAAAGACCTCAAGCCTCAGAACCAGGGAGCAAGCAGAGAAAACGGGGCAAGGTGTGTTTAGCCTAACAGGTAGCAGGAGCTCAGAGGCCTCCAAGCCCATTCAACCCGTTGCTGGGGTGTTGATTAACTCACAGTGACCCCGTAGGACAGAATATAACGGCCCCCTAGAGCTTCCAAGCCCCATAGGGCTCCTCCCTATGGGACCAGACAGCCCTCCTCTTTGTCCCTGGAAGTGGCTGGTGATTACCAACTGCCAATCCCTCACTAAGTGCCGAGGGCATAACCACTGAACCATTAGAGCTCTTTCAAGTTCATCGAAAGGGTTTCGATTTCAGCAAGGGAAGCAGCCCTGGGAAACCATTCTTTCACATTGTCACTCATAAGGAAAACCAAGTTTAAAAAAAATCCATTCCTTCTAATATGGCCACAGCAGCGAGTTAGTTTCTTAGGCATCTATCTGGAAGGGGAGAGTGGGGGGGAGATGGAGAGCTAATTATGAATACAAGAAAGAATAAAATGTTCTAAGACGGGCTGTGGTGATTACATAACTCTTCTTAATAGGATTAACCCATTGAATTGTATGATATGTAAATTAGATGTCAACAAAACGCTTTTTTACAAAAGGGAAGCGGCACTTCACTCAGGGTGAACGGGAGCGAATGAGATCCAGGGAACTGGACCCTGCGCTTGGAAGGTGTCCACACCACCCTCATCCTCTTGGTAACTAGTCCTTTGTCAATTGACCTGGGGGTCAGTAAGGGGTTAGAACTCCCATCACAGGTCGTTCTAAAGTTTAAGAACCTTGGCCACGAGCCCCGGGACACTCACCTGACTGGTGTGGAGCCAGTACTTGAGCTTGGACTTATTTCTGATTCGTGGCAGCAGGAGCCTGTGCACAATGTGCTCCCCGACGGTGGTCAAGACGGACACGCCGAGTCCAACGCACAGCATCACGAAGAGGCCAGAGAAGTGCTTGATGCCCATTTGCAAAGTCTGTGGCAGAACAGGAAAGGAGAGGCCATGAACATGACGCTGGCTCACTCTCGGACTCGAGAGTCTGCTTCTGGGCCCAAGGGAAGCTGGAGAAGAGCCAGTCCCTCCCTGATCTGGCTCCTCCCTGCTGTGAACTCTAGAGGCTTCGATAGGCTGCACTGAAAAAGGCCTTCAGCCCGCGTCAGGCTGAAGAACACACTGCAAGGGTCCCAGTCACATATCAGACCTGTTGTATGAATGTTCCCAGCGGCTGTGTAGAGACCCTGGGCCTATGCTAGACACACACACACACACAGAGAGAGACAGAAATATTTAATATAGTTAAGCATTGAAGAGTCATCAATGGGAGGCTCTTCCCTATGGATATAGACTCAATCAGGCTAGGAGGAATTCAATAATTTTGGTGTTTAGAGCTGGTAGGGAACATGGAGATCATCTAGTTTAGCCTTCATACTTTATAGATAAGGATCGTGGAACCAGAGAAATTAAGTAAGTGGAGCTGGCCACAAATGTAGGTTTTCATGGAGGAGAAAGAGAAAACCCAGTAATACTTACTGCTTGCTTACGTCGGCTGGGTATCTCGCGGTGAGGTGGTGTCAGGTGCTGTTGAATCGGTTGCGACTTAAAGTGACTCAAACCCGAAAAGCAAATTCACTGCCATCGAGTGGCTGCTGACTCATAGCGACCCCCTGTGGGTTTCCGAGACTAAATGTTTACGGGACTAGGAAGCCCAGCCTTGAAGAGCTGCTGGTGGCTTCAAACTGCTGACCATGCGGATGGCGCCCAACACATCACCAGTGCCCCACCAGCGCTTCTTCATAGGGACCCAATGTGCTGTACCATCATCACAATTGTTATGCTTGAACCCACTGTTGCAGCCACTCATTTCATTGAGGGCCTTCCGCTTGTATAGGACCCTCGACTTTACAAAACACCATGCCCTTTCCAGGTACTGGTCTCTCCTGACAACAAGCTCCCTGTGCAGGAGACGGTGTCTTTCCGTCCGTCCGCACTCCTCAGGAGCTGATGCTTTGGCCCTCCTTCCGAACAGACCTGCTTGTTCTTCAGAGCAAGCACACACACGTGTACTGGAAAACCCCTCTGGCCACCTGTACCTATTACAGTGCGTACTGTAATATGGCTATTGTAGAAACATTCTATGACTTATTATCTTACTGGATCAAGGTCAAACTAGAGAAATTCATCCTGGAAACTAACACTAACATTATCAACTATTTAGCCAAACTGTAAGAAGATGGGCCTAAACTCACTGCTATCAAGTTGACTGTGACTCTGTGTCTGTACAGAGCAGAGTAGAACCTCCCTGTGGGTTTCTGAGGCTGTAACTTCTCACAGGAGTTGAGAGTCTCATCTTTCTTCCATAGAGTGGCTGGTGGTTTCAAACTGCTGACCTTATGGTTAGCAGACCATTGAATAACTCATATGCCACCAGAGCTTCTAAGTAGATGGGTAGTACTTGCTTATAAGGCACTGCCAAGCTGAGAAAGCAAAATGTAACTGATAATGAGTCATGGTGCCTTTAAACACATAATTTTCCATTGTTATTGTGCACAACGATTATTCTCTTTTCCCTCTTATTACCTTGAGAATAGGCTGTACTCCATTTGTAGAGCACATACCTTTCCTTCATGTTCTGTGCTTTATACCCACTCACTGTAATGAAAGCAGAGACTACTTCTTTTCTTTTCTTCTTTTGTCTTTCAATATCATTCCTTTTAATTATATGAATATAATACATATTACCCACTAGGGAAAACTAGGTAGACTGCATACACTCTTACTCTATTATTTCTTTTTTTTGTGTGTGTGGAATATTTTCCTCTTACTTCAATTCCATTTTCCTCTTTTTTAATCGTTTTATTAGGGACTCATACAACTCATCACAATCCATACATACATCAATTGTGTAAAGCACATTTGTACATTCATTGCCCTCATCATTCTCAAAACATTTGCTCTCCACTTAAATCCCTGGCATCATGTCATTTTTCCCCTCCTTCCCCACTCCCCCCACCCCCCATGAGCCCTTGATAATTTATAAATTATTATTTTGTCATATCTTGCCCTGTCCGAAGTCTCCCTTCACCCACTTCTCTGTTGTCCATCCCCCAGGGAGGAGGTCTCATGTAGATCCTTGTAATCGATTACAGAGACTACTTCTTGACTGGCCATCCTATCTGTGTTTATGCACACACACGGCTAATCTTATAATAAAGTCTACAAACTACATTTCATTATTATGTCACACTGGGGAACCCGAGTCTTATAGAGATTCATTTATTTCCTTCTGATCATATAAGCTAACACTTAGGGGAGTCAGGTTCTGGATCCAGACATACCTGAGGCCAAAGCCTTGCTGCTTCTCAAACAAACACCCTTTTCGATTGGCCCTTGTTCTCTGAGCTCACACTGCTGATCCAATGGAGAAAGAGGAAGCTGCCTTCTCCCGTAAAGACTTACAGACTCGGAAACTCTATGCGGAGGAGGTGAGTGTTCACTTTAACAACGGGAACACAGTTTTTATTAAAAGTAGACTCCTACAATCACCTGGCTGTGAGCAGCATCGACCAGTTCTGTTGTGTCTGAGTCTGGGTGTAAAACAGACAGCCACAGTTGTTACCAGCTGCTCATCCTATAGGATGGGGATGTTTTTCACCCCATTATCCATTAGATATCTGCACCTTCCCCCCAGTATCATGTGCAAACTGTGTCCCTAATACAATACAACTTGTTCAGCTAAACACTCATCTGGTCCAAGGAAGAGGAACAATGGACAATCAGTGTCAGAGGGTTGCAACGAATTTAGATCTCGCAGACAGCAGGACAGCTGCTGCTGCAAAGCATGAGCAGAAACACCCCAGCCAGAAATGTGCCTACAAGCCCCGTCTCATGCTGTCAAGAGCTGTGTAAATGAAAGCAAAGAGAAAGCAAGCCGACCTACATTTTGAGGGTCTTTTTTTCATGCCATTGCTTCAGCTGCAGCCTCTATTGATAGCTCACAGCCGCACTCTTCCAGAAGAAAAGATAGTGGAGTCGTTTCCAGGGGATTCACTATAGGCTAACCTCCGGCAGACTACTTCACTTCATCCTTCAACAGTTCCCCTGAACCCACCAAATCACTCAGTCAGCTCTTTAATCACTAAGCAACCCTTCAAGAGGCTTCATAACTAAACAACATCACTTGGCTTGCTTATTTAATTTGCTAACTATCATCAATCAATTGTTGTTTCTTTAACAGTCTATTTGACTGTTGCCTTGTATTGTAATATATATTCATGGCTACATGGAGGGAAACTTGGTTTGCATTTGAAACTGTCCCCTGCATGCATGGTGGTTTAAATGCTTTATATTATATAGAAATCCTTTGTGGCATGCTACACATGATAATCCCTACATTGAGCATTAAATATTAAAGAGTCAGAGGTGGTGATGAGTCTTTTAATAGCAGTCTTGTAATAATATATGGGGACTCTTCATAAGGTGGGAGGGTTTAGGTAGTTGTTCTATTTACAGCAATGGGAAGGGTTCCCACCATCCGAAATATCACTGGCCAACACATTGCACGGAAAAGACTAGCGACAGATAAAGGGGCTTCTGTGTATCACATGTTCCGTGGTGGTTTCTGCCATCCCAGATCATCAGTGCTTCCAGTGATATACAGATGCCACAGACCACCAATTTTTTGGTATAAATCATTTTACTGGGGGCATGTACAACTCTTATCACAATCCAAGACCACTGATTTTATTGCTACCTACCCCCTGCACCTTTTGCAGAAGTGGATCTTGAAACAGCAGCTAGATGGCTGACTGGGATGCCATGCCTCCAGCAAGAAGTACAGTTAATGTAGTTCACTTACCATTTCTCTTAAATGTGACCGGTCAAGTCCTGCGCAACTCCCCCGCCATTGGCCCCATTCTACACTTCTCAGACAGACAACCAAAAGCAACGACGGGAAACACATCAAAGACAATGGAGGAATCAGTGGTCTCCAAATTGCTAATACACTGATTACAGGAAAGCCTGACCATTGGATATAGGCTTGGGGAAGGCCCTGATAGCTTTGAGAAGCAGTGTTTGGGGAGCAGGTAGAGACAAAAGCCTGAAAGAAACTAGTTCACAACCAGAAGCTGAGAACAGCTTTTTCATTTTTTTAAAGATCATTTTATTGGGGACTTGTACAACACTTATCACAATCCATCCATCCATTGTGTCAAGCACATTTGTACCTTTGTTGCCATCATCATTCTCAAAACATCTGCTTTCTACTTAAGCCCTTGGTATCAGCTCATTTCCCCCTTCCCTCACGAACCCTTGATAATTTATAAATATTATTATTTTGTTATGTCTTACACTGTCCGATGTCTCCTTTCACCCACTCCTCTGTTGTCCGTCCCCCCAGGGAGGGGTTATATATAGATCCTTGTGATCAGTTCCCCCTTTCCATCCTACCCTCCCTCCACCCTCCAGCATCGCCACTCTCACCACTGATTCTGAAGTGATCATCCGCCCTGGATTCCGTGTTTCCAGTTCCTGTCTGTACCAGTGTGCATCCTCTGGTCTAGCCAGATTGGTAAGGTTGAATTGGGATGATAGTAGGAGGGAAGAAGCATTTAGGAACTAGAGGAAAGTTGTATGTTTCATTGTTGCTACACTGCACCCTGACTAGCTTGTCTCCTTCCTGTGACTCTTCTGTAAGGGGATGTCCAGTTGCCTACAGATGGGCTTTGGGTCCCCACTCTGCACTCCCC